TGGTGTCTAGTGAGGGTTGACTTTCTGCTTCAAAGATGGTGACTTCTTGTTGCATCCTCACATGGTAGAAACTCCCCCAAGCCTCTTTTTTCTTGGAAAGGTTTTTGCTATAGGGTGTGTGTGCTTGCCAGACAGACAGAGAGAGACAGAGAGACAGAAAGTGAGAAATCACCCCCCAGGGGAGATGGCCATGCCACAATCCCTTCTCCTCCATTGTCCATTCATCCCCAAGCCTCTTTTATAGGGACACTAACCTGTTCATAAGGCTTTTCCTATTAATCTAACTACATTTTAAAAACCTTACCTCTTAATTCTATTGTATTGGGGATTAGATTTCAACATATGAATTCTGAGGAGACACAAACATTCATACCATACCACCAGTGGTCTGACTTAATGGTCCTTTCTATAGCTGTACGTCACAAAGCCTCTTCTTTTTCCTTAAATGTAACTGTACGCACTACCAGAAGACAATGTTTTGTAGAAAATTCAGAGCTCCTGATATTTTATAAATGTGGTATGGTCAGCTAAACAATGGTCTCCAAAAAATGCTCATTATGTGGTGACGGGAATAAATGGAATTAAGGCCATAAATCAGCTGACCTTAAAATATAGACATTATCTTGGATCATCTGGGTGAGACCAATATATCACAAGAGTCTTTAAACTTAAAAAAGGGAGGCAGAAAAGTAAGCCAGAGAGATGCCATGTGAGAAAGACTTGACTATTGCTGGCCTTGAAGATGGAAGGGAGCCATAAGGGAATGAATGAGGACAGGCTTTAGAAGCTAGAAAAGGCAAGAAAATGAATTCTTCCCTAGTACTTCCAGGAAGGAATACAACCCTACCAATCTCTTAATATTAGCCCAATGAGATTTATTTCAGAATTCTGATCTCTAGAACCATAAGACGAAGTAGATGGACCAGATGGTGGCACAGTGGAAAAACACAACACTCTGCAACAACCCCGTGTGGAAGACCCCCGGATCAAGTCTAGAGATGTCCCAGAGTACTCTAAGCACACATGTGTCCATGATCCGGGGTTGGCTGAAGACTGGGTTGGATTATGGCATCAAGACGCTGTTGAGGGTGCTCTCTCTTTTTCTCTCTCAACCATGGGAGAAATAGATAAATAAAATTTAAAAAGAAAAGATTTTGAGTAGAGCACAGGGTTCCAAAGAGCCCAGGATTTAGGCCTTTCCAGTAGGGTCTAGTTTCCTGGTAGGGGCTGCCTAGCAGGGGCTGAGACTAAAGAGGGAGGAGCTGTTTAGTGGGAACAGAAATCACAGAGAAAATGCAAGAACTGCTGAAGACTATGCTCAAAAAAAGAAAAGAAGGGGAAAATACCATAACATTTCCCCTCCTCCTGCCTTTCAATCTTTGGCAACACAAACCTATTCAGAAAGCCAGAATGCAAAGTCTGGAAGATATATAGTGCAGAGGGCAGACAGGATCTGAGAGTAGAGTTCAATACCTAGAGTACCTTCCAATATCTCCGACCTAGTATTAGGTGACATCCTTTCATAGCTGAGATAAAGGGAAAAGGCCCTGTACAGTTCCTCCTTTGTCTCCCCTACTCACCTTTTCTTTCTTTTTTCAGGTTTTTATTGCTATAGGACATGTATGCTCCCCAGAGAGAGAAAGTGAGAGGGAAAGTGAGAAATCACCACCCGAAGGGGGCAATCATGCCACAATCCCTTCTCCATTCTCCTCCTGGGATTTTGGGCTTCCAAAAAATACACACGCTCCCAACATCACTTTGGGCTCCCAAAAAATACACATGCTCCCAACATCACTTTGGGCTCCCAAAAAATACACACGCTCCCAACATCACTTTGAAGCCACCGGGTCTGGGACTCCAGCTGCAATTAGCCACGCGTGAGTCTAGCACCTTAGCTACCATGCCACCTGCTGGCTTCCTTCCTTTTCTTTTTCTGAGCACATTCCAATCAATCTGTACTGACAAGATTTTTTTCCTTTTTTTGTATTTTACATGTTTTCTTCTTTTTAATGCCAGAAGGTGCATGCATTGCACCAGAGAGAGAAAGAGAGAGAGAGAGACAGAGAGACAGAGAGCACAAAAGAGCAAGCACTCTCCAATGGGGCCCGATCATCTTGCAATTCTCTTTATTCCTACTTCCTGTCAGGATCCTGAGTATGCATGTGCACACACCCTGCTTATTTTTCAAGCCACTGAGGCTGGGATTCAAACTATGGTTGAGATCTGGCTCATTCCACACAGCACTTAACCACGATGCTGTGGGGTCAATCCCAGGGTTATTTCTATGTATTAAAATACAGATCATCTCATTGGCAATATCTCAAAATGCAGGCTTTAAATATTGTCACAGCTGCTGGATGCCCTGCTTCATATTCCCTCAGTCCACTCTAAAGTCATCTGCTGTGGCAGTAAACAGTTTCTGTGCACAAGGCAGCTTCACGGCTCGAGGGCCCACACCTCTTCTTCTCTACCTGAGCTTGCCTGGTACATAATAAGGCCTCCTCGAAAGGATCTAATATCACCAGGGGTAACCTTCAATCAGCCTGGAACTACTTTAGTGGACAAATACCCCAGCTTTCTGGTCCTCTGATCTGCAATGTTCCTTAGGAGGCCTGGTGTGACTGAGTTGTGTCGTCCACAGAGGTAACCTATTCAATGACGCAGCATGTAGTGACTTTTCTCCCTTCCCTGTCTCACTCTTCCCAACCCCCACTTGCAACAAAGTCCTGTTCTGGGGTCTGATTTTTAGGGAACTCAGGCTAAAGCAAATGTAAAATCAAAACATAAAATCTTGCTAAAATGTTGGTTGCTCCTTGACTAAGGGAATGTGGTCTCTCTTTTACATTGTGTTCAGCTGCCTCTGTTATTTCCTGGTCATATGATCATTGGTGGTGGGGGAGGGGAAGGGAGAAGAAATAGGTATTTATGTCCCAAAATGACTTGGAGAAGTAGGAATGGCTTGCTTGCAGCGTGAGTCCAACTGAAGAGGAGAGGAAAAGATTCCCTTATTTTTTCAGAAGTCCTTAGACTCTGGAATATTACCTACGTGTTATTATTAAACCCCTCTTTCAGTAGTGTCTGTATCACTTCTGCATCACAGTTATGTAGGCTATTGTTTTCTAATCCTGGTTTCTAACGGAAGTACCTGGAAAACTTTCTAACCTACAAATTCTTGGGCCCCAACTTAGATTTACAGAAGCATTCTCTCTCTCTATCTAAACCCCTCAGGTAATTCTGAACGTACAGCTCTGTTTGGGAACTGCACAGACGTTAGCTATAATTCTTTCATCTCCTGTCCTTAATTGGGAAGAGGGTTACAAGAGACAGAAAGTATGGGAGCAGAGGCTCATAACAGTGGTAATTGAGACATTTAGGATTTTCCAGCTGCATAATGAAGATGACTTCATGACAGTGTCAGAAAGCCTCTATTCAGGATCGAGATGTCTCTCATATTAGTCCTTCTCTATTACAGTTTATAATTTAAAATGGTAAGGGCAGAAGCACTTTGATGATAAAATGTTATCCTTGAATATATTTTATGCAAATGTAACCTTTAGGTGAGGAAAGAGGAGAGACAATGTAATTAGTGAATCAAATGCAGATAATCAGCACCTTGTGTAGTATTGGCATATAATTATAAGGCTGAGATTCTCCTAACTTGATATTTGGGTAAAGAAATAAGGAAAAACACCTGCAACTCATCCTGCAAAATTAAAATGTGGTTTTCTTGAATCTGTTTCCAGTGCAACATTAAACAGCACATACTAAACCCACTGAAAAGTATCTTGTGAAACTGTGTATCTACAAAGCAGGTGCAAAAAAAAAAAAATTCTCACTTGGTATCTATTTCATGACATCATTAAAAACGAGATTTTACAACCTTTCATCACACTTTGAAGAATATATTAAACTTTCTAATGCCACGAAACACTTGCAATTAAGTCTGCTCACCTATGCCATTTCCATCAGTCCCTCCCCACTCAATGCCTGAACAACATACTGTGACAAAAGCAGGTTGTTCTCAGGAGTCTTTCACCTTTCCCATTGTTGAACTCACAAAGAGCCATTGCACTCTACAAAACCTGAGATGTGATTATTCAGTGAATGAACGAGTGAATGCAGGCATGCAAGCTGCACAGAATCCCATACCTCCAAATTGGTCCTGCCCTTAATATTCTACGATAAAGTTGCCAAATAGTGATTGAATGTCACCTATGCTACAGACTACGAAACAAATGGTAAGTAAGACGTATTATGATTCTTCAAAGTCTTCCCATCAAGAAGAGATAAGTAGACAAAAAATTTAATATAGAATATAATTCATGTAGGGGGAACAGTTGAAGTGCAGTGGAAAAGAATCATAAGTATTGTCATGGAAAATGGAGAAACATTATAGATTAGCAAATAGGACATGCTAGGGAAGCAACCACAATCAATAAAATTCCAAGGAGAGGCTGGGGTGTACCAGCAATTAGGCAGTTTGTTCTGTGTAATTCTGTCCTCCACTAAGAAAAAGGGAAAGTAAACGAGGATGGAGATTCTTTCATTTTTTTTTTTAAGAATTATTTTATTTAACTTTATTCATTTTAATTTGCCCAGAGAGAGATACAGTGAGAGAGAGAGAGAAAGTGAAAAAGCAAACTGCCAGGTCTGGGACTTGAACTACAGTTGGCCATGTGGGAGTCCAGTGCACTTAACCACTACGCCACCTTCTTGCCCTGAGGATGGACATTCTTATTCTGCATCTGGCTCAGCAGAAACACAAATTTCTGAGAGGCTCCCACAAGAAGGGCAAGCAGTTTCAAGTTTTATGTGAACACTGGCCAATTAAATCTGGCTGCTACTTCTTGTGGTCAATGAAACAAGAGACAGAGGCTGGAGACAGGAGTTTATTTCTTTTTTATTCCCCCACACTACGAGAGTTAATTTTATTTGTTCAAGGGCTCATATTGCAAGCACTAAACCAAGCATGGGCTTTGATTCTGTGGGCCCACATTCACATATTAAGGTAAAAGCAAACTGTAATCCACATACCTGGATGGAAACTAAAGGCTCATGGTTAATCACATTGTAGTGTTAGAATTTCTACAGCCTAGACCTCAGTAGTCACAGGTCTTTCAGGTCCTTCTGGATGTCCCACAGCGTGTCTGCACTCTTCTTGAGCTGAGCAACCTCGTCGTCCTTCAGCTTCTGGTTGATAACACTGGTCAATCCCTGAATGTTGAGGATACGTGGAAGGCTCAGGAAGACTTCATTCTCGATGCCATACATCCCCTTCACCATGGTTGACACTGGATGAATCCTGGACAGATTTTCCAACATGGATTCAATGAGATCAGCCACACTTAATCCAATCGCCCAGTTGGTATATCCTTTTAGCTTGATGACTTCATAGGCACTTTCAACAACCATCTTATGTACTTCCTTCCAATTTTTGCTGTCATTGTCCGTCCCCATTTCTGGATTCAGTTCCTGGAGAGAAACACCTGCCACATTCACGCCATTCCACACAGCCACACTTGAGTCGCCATGTTCTCCCAAAATCCATCCGTGACAGCTGGTGGGATGAACGCCAAGTTTTTCAGCCATGAGATAGCGAAATATAGCAGAATCCAGATTACACCCACTTCCAATCACACGGTGCTTGGGCAAGCCACTTAGTTTCCAGGTAACATAAGTGAGAATGTCCACTGGGTTGGAAACCACAATTATGATGCAGTCGGGGCTATACTGGATGATCTGGGGAATAACGAATTTGAAGATATTTGAACGCCAAGTTTTTCAGCCATGAGATAGCGAAATATAGCAGAATCCAGATTACACCCACTTCCAATCACACGGTGCTTGGGCAAGCCACTTAGTTTCCAGGTAACATAAGTGAGAATGTCCACTGGGTTGGAAACCACAATTATGATGCAGTCGGGGCTATACTGGATGATCTGGGGAATAACGAATTTGAAGATATTAACGTTTCTTTGCACCAGGTTGAGATGACTCTCCCCCTCCTATTGACGGACTCCAGCAGTCACCACCACAATCTTGGAATTGGCAGTCACAGAGTAATCTTTATCTGCCACAATTTTAGATGTCTGAAAAAATAAGCTTCCGTGCTGCAGATCCATCATTTCTCCTTTGAGTTTATCTTCCAAAACATCCACCTGGGCAAGTTCATCAGCCAGAGACTTTCCCAAAATGCTGATTGCACACACCATACCAACTTGTCAACACCCACTACAGTGATCTTATTGTTGGCCTCTTCTTCTGCAACTGGTGCAATGAGTTTATCCTTGAGTTGCCATTGTGCACAGGGCAGAGAAAGCTCTCAAGATGGCTGGAACAGTTGAGTGAAGAGGACAATGTTAGCTGCCGACAGGAGTTTATTTCTGTAACTGGTTTCAGGGAGACAGCAAACACTATCTTGAAAAGTGCAGTATGTTCTTCACGTTTATAGGTACAAAATACAAGCACGGGCAAATCATTCCTCAGGGTAATTAATCAGAGAAAATTGTTTTTCCCTGAGTAATTATCCTGATTCCTCTTTTACTTCAAATACTGGGTCCTAGTTTCTCATCTGACCATTCCTCAGACAGATTTTCCTATGACTCAGCACTTTGTTCCCATTAGAGGCCTTCTTAATTTCAAAGCCGCTGCGGTCCTGCTGACCCTTTAAGTGGCTTTCTTTCAGGCTGACAGGGAGGTAGTGGTGGTCTCCGCACTCTTTTATAGGAATTCTTAGGACAAATCTATGGGGCTGCCAGGAACTGGGAAAAAAGAGGTGATCACAGAGGACCCACAAATGTACAAGGGGGCATCTTCAAAAAGTTAGTGGAAATGCATATTATTTTAAAGGATGCAGAGATTTCAAAATATTTTTTGCACCAAAATAATCTTTAATTTTGAATCTGCTTTAATTTATTTAATTTCTTTTTATTTTAACTAACTTTTAAGTCCCATTGTACTATCTATGAGTCTCAGAGGCTGATGTTTGAGTTAAATCAAGGTCAACAAGTAGTAAAGTGAACGTACTAAGAAAATGGTTTGATAACCAACCAACATATAAAGAAGTTTTACCCTCAAATGCCTTATGATGTCTATTTTTCTTTTTTTTTTTTTTGAGAGGTTTTTGCTATAGGGCACATGCACTTGCCAGAAAGACAGAGAGAGACAGAGAGACAGAAAGCAAGAAATCACCCCCCAGAGGGGATGGCCACGTTGCAATCCCTTCTCCTCCATTCTCCCCCTCGGGATCTTGGGCAGGCATGCACACATGCCCAGCGTGAATTTAAGCTACTGGGCCCGGTACTCTAACCACAGTCAACTACATGGGAGTCCAGCGACATAGCCATTATGCCAACTGCTGGTCCGTCAAATACCTTATGTTAAGTTTTCAGCTTTGGGAACCAGCAGTTAGCGTAATGGCTATGTCGCTGGACTCCCATGTAGTCGACCGCGGTTTGCGTCCCGGACCCAGTGGCTTGAAACTCACGCCGGGCGCGTGTGCATGCATGCCCAAGATCCCAAGAGGAGAATGGAGGAGAAGAGATTGCGGCGTGACCATCCCCCCTGGGGGGGGATTTCTCGCTTTCTGTCTCTATGTCTCTCTCTGTTTGGCGAGCGCACGCACCCTATAGCGAAAATCTCTCCAAAAAAAAAGTTTTCAGCTTTAACAAAAATATGAATCCACTGTATCCTCCTTGACCAATCCATTAAGATGAACCTAAATAAAGCAAATGTAGTTAAGAAACAATCCTGTTTTTCTAGTCACAGGCTAATTTTAATGTGTTTTTTGTTTTGTTTTGTTTTGTTTTTAGCTCATCCCTGGGACTTGCCCTCATCTGACCCTTCTTTGTGTCAAAGTTTTAGTTTCTGCAAAAGAAAGCTCTAGTGAGTGTTTAATGAACCAGTTAATAGTGATGAAAGACAAAACCAGGCACCTCTGGGAAACTGAATCAACCTTTAAATGATTAAGACCATTTGGTTGGTTTGTATCTTGCTAAATATTAATTGGTGGTAGAGATGCTCTAGAGGAAAAAAAAGAGCCTGTAGTCAAATGAATATTTAGTTATTATTTAAAAGAGATTATTTATACATGTAATTCTATCAAATTTTAATTCATAGACCAGTATCCAAATAGTCTTTCTTTAGCAGGCCAGTATTAACATGTAATGGAAAACTTGGGTACAAAATATTTTGTACTATTTTCCCTTCTTCCTTGTCCTTTCTTTCTTTTTACAAAATTTCAGGTCAATAAAATTTCTTGTCATTAGTTTTGTGGATAATTCATTAGTTAGTATGATAATGATTTTCCTTGCAAAGCTAATAAATCCTCTAGTATTAAAAAAAATCTACACATTTTATTTCTCAATTTATACATTGCTCATTTGAATTCACCACAGAGGCAAGACTGATGTGATTGATAGAATAAAATTTCTAAATAAGACCCAAGAAGCATTTACTATTACTTTAAGTAACTGTAAGTGTCCCGACCCGGGGGGACAGCCGAACAGGTTTCCTGAGTGAAGGAGTGAGCCGGGACAAGCGGCGTAGTGTTACAGCACGGAGACGACAGTGTCGTCTGTTTATTGTGGGCAGCATGGTACAGCACAGAGATGACACAGTGTCGCGTCGTCTACTGTGAGCAGCACGGAGACGATGCGGTGTCACAACTCTTCAGGGTTGTCCGGAGACGATGTAGTGTTACAACTCTTCAGGGTCTCCCAGTTCGTCTGGAGACGATGCAGTGTCAGCTCTTCAGGATCTTCAGGGTCGTCTAGAGACTGCGCGGTGTTTCAGCTCTTCAGGCTCTTCAGTTGTCATCTTCCTGGTCGTCGTTGTCGTCGTCTGGCTACTGTGGGCCAGGCATCGTGGTTATATACACTCTGGTGGGTTGTAAACGGTGGACCGTGATTGGTTGTAAAGGGTGGGCCCTGATTGGTTGTTAACAGTGGGTTATGATTGGTTGCTTTTGGACCAATCATGAGGTGCCGGATATGCAAATTTGAGGGATTCTAGTGGCCAATCAGAGCAAGGTTTCGAAGGTCAGGTTTTTGGAAGGGAACCAATCATGGTAATTGTTTGCTCTCTGAGAAACCTCGGCAGACTCGCTGGTGTGCAGCTTCCCACATCTAAGTACTATAACCAAAAAAAATTTAATAAGCTCACTGAGTTAATATAGTAAGTTTTTCTTTCCCATATTGGAAAACAGCAAGTTATTACTGTTCTTTTTTTTTTTTTTTAAATAAAAAAACCCCTGAGAATAATGAAACTATAGTTAGCATTTATAGTACAGACTAAATTAGCTTCTGATTTTATTAAATGTCTTCAAATGTAACTACTAAAAGCTAGTAACCAAGAGAGAAAAGCTGGGGCTACTAACCTAACCCTTGACTATTTTGGCTGTAATACTTTCCCTGCCACGTTATTATCTAGCAATTGGGATGTGTAAATGCGAGCCTTCACAGGCTATTGACCAGTGTTCAAACTGGTAGACAGCATTATTAAGTATCGAGAACATTTCTTTCCTCTGAGTTGATTCGATAAAGTATAACACCACTAGAAAAGTAGATGCAGGAAAATACAATAGGCAACAAGCTCCTTTGGGCTTATAACTTCATAATGATTTTTAAATTTTTTTTTGGAGAGGTTTTTGCTATAGGGCAAGTGCACTCGCCAGAAAGACAGACAGAGAGCAAGAAATCACCCCCCAAGGGGGATGGCCACACTGCAATCTCTTCCCTTCCATTCTCCTCTCGGGATCTTGGGTACACATGCACACATGCCTGGCGTGAGTTTAAGCCACTGGATCCAGGACTCGAACTGCGGTTGACTAAACATGGGAGTCCAGCGACATTGCTATTACGCCAACTGCTGGTCCCCTTCATAATGATTTTTATGTGGCTTTGTATATGCTCAAAAAGAGTATTCATTATATATTCTTCCTCAGCTATTACCCCTAGATTCTCACAATGGTACTTCAGATCACTTTAACCAGTGATTTCCATTTTTCAGAAGGAGATGTACACAAAAACCCCTAGTCACTCATCTGTTGCAAAGACTGTGAACACAAGCCCAGTCATAACACTTTCTGGGTTTATATCCAGACTAGTAGCTCTAAGAAGTAGTCCAGGAAACCAAACAAACAATAACCCTTTAACCATCCAAAATGACATGGACTTGATTCCTAACTGACAGCTTCCTTAATTTTTGTCTCTACCTCCAATTTAAGACCAGCTAGAGAAATCTAAATACATACCCCAGCAATGACAGCAGATGCCCCATTTCCAGCTAGTCTGCCTACAACTTTCCTTTCTTCCACTGTCGCGTTTCTGCACTTTGCAGTCATAACTTAGAAAACTTATTTTTTAATTCTGTGCCTCAGTGTTTCTTCTGCAAATTGGAGAGAATAGTAGTCTATATTTTATAGGACTATAGGGATTAAATTACCTGTTTCATGGATAGTGTGTAGAAGAGTGCCTGGTACATAATGAATGTTCAATAAATATTAGTTATTATCTTAGGTATAAATCCAACATTTGGGTTGTAGTTTAAGATCTTAAGGAGTAACTAAAACTTCCAACCTTCCATTGTGGGGATTTACATGACATCAAAATAATTCATGTCAATTTCACTCACTATTCCTTTCATCTTTCTGAGAAATGGTTGCACTGTGCTTTCATGCTCATCGTCTTAGGAGAAATTGATTTCAAGTGATGCAGAAAAGGCTACTGGATACATACATGATCTTGGAGGTTGCTGAAGAATTTGTGGGGAGGACCAGCAGTTGGCGTAATGGCTATGTCACTGGACTCCCATGTAGTTGACCACGGTTTAGTCCCAGACCCTGTAGCTTAAATTCACACCAGGCGTGTGCGTGTGTGCCTAAGATCCCAAAAGGAGAATAAAGAGATTGCGGCATGGCCATCCCCTCTGGGGAGTGATTTCTTGCTTTCTGTCTTTCTCTGGCAAGCGCATGTACCCTATAGCTAAAAAGAGAGAGAGAGAGAAGGAATTTGTGTGAAATGGTCAAAAACCTTCCATCTTGCACACTAACTCTTCTGCTATATATAATGCCTCACACAGAGGAGCTTTGTAGTGCATACATACTACCACGAACTTCACACACGGGTGCACAGCAGCATGGCAGACACTGTTGGTTGCCTACCCAATCATTCCTCCCCTTATTTCTTGCTCTTAGAGCCCCATCCTGTTCAGAGAGGTAGAGGTCAGGAGAAGTGAAGCTTCTCAGAAGCAAAGCCTCTCTCCAGCTGAAAATCTGGTGGATAATGACCAGTCTGTCAACCATGGGAATTCCATCCCTTTTTCAGTGACTGCTTTAGGAATAGATGCAGGACATAATCACCAGTGTTTCTGAGGGGCAATCTGTTGAGGGGATACTGGGAAGATTTTTCTCCCACTTACAAAGGAACAGAAAGAATAAGTATCTTTTCCTCTAGGCTTAGGACACTGTCCATGGATAAGAAGTCTGAACAGGCTGCAATCTAAGGAGCTTACGAAGTGGGGGACAGAGGAGTAGAAGGATGTACTGGCCATCATCAGTCCTGATGACACAGGTGAGCCTCGGAATCAACCAGCCAGCAAGTCCCCAATCTTAGTCCTTCTTGCTAACGAGATAATTAATCTTCCTTATTGTTTGAGCCAGCTCTTAAACTTTAATGTGAGTTCAAACCATCTGGAGGTCTTGTTAAAGTACAGATTCTGATTTAGTAGGTCTGGGGTAGGGCTGGAGAGTCTGCTTTTCTTGGAAGTCTGTGTGTGTTGCTAGTAATGTTGGCCCACAGATTACACTTGGCGTAGCAAAAATTCATTGGGCTTTCTGTTTGTTACAACTGAAAGAATTTTATTTAGGGTGATTTGATTGTGGAAAGAATTTGAAAATGAAGATGCAGGGAGAGGACAAAAAGAAAATTGTCTCTGTGGGTGGACCTATACACGCTGAGAAACCATACTTTTCATATGACTAAATTAGCAGAAGACTGTAGGGGGGAAAAATGTAAGACTTTATTAGGAAGCTCAGTTCATCTTTACAGTCATATGCACAAATGAACTCATCATTACAGATGTGGTGAAGGTACTTTTTTTTTTTTTGCCTTTGCAGCAGAGTGGTCAAGAATCAAGAGACAGGAAGGGTACACACCACCAGGAGGGACAGAAGTGGTTGTGAAGGTTTTCTGGTTTCCAGTTAAAATACTTCCTGAGGTCTAGCTGTCCTTTTGCTTAGGATAACTCGAGTTGATTTATGTAACCTGCAATATTGTGCCGTGTTCAATCAATAGGGTCACGTGAGTGGTTTTATTTCTCAAAGGATACGCCCTCTTTGAGAGCAAGCAGCATTTATTTTTACAAGCTCCACAGCATTGGCCATAGTCTCTAGGACATTTATATATATATATACATGAAAGTTTTTCTGTTTATTTATTTACTTCCCAGCACTTAACATGGTGTCTGATAGACAGAAGATAATCCAAAAACTGTGAGTGAATTAAAAAAGGGAGTGCATGCACTAGAATCTTTAAAAGAATATATATATTTCAACTAATTTTTATTACATGTAAATTTCCCTAAAAAATTTGCCTTCACCACATCTGTAATGATGAGCTCATTTGTGCACATGACTATAAAGATGAACCGAAGTTCCTAGTAAAGCCTTATATTTTTATGTACATATTCTTTTTTTTAAAGCTTTTTCTATAGGACACATGTGCTCACCAGGGAGAGACAGTGAAAGGGAAAGTGAGAACTCCCCCTCTCTCTTGAGGAGGTAGCCATGTTGTAATCTGTTCTCCTTGCTCTCCTTCTAGGATTTTGGGCATGCACACACACGCACCTGGTATAGTTTTCAAGCCATCAGGTCCAGGACTGGAACCATGATTGGCCATGTGGGAATCCAACACCTTAACCACCATACTACTTTCTGGCCCTTATGTAAAGGTTCTTTGGCAAAGGGTCATTCACTAAGATGGTGCTACAATGTCATCTTTTAATTATTTTATTTTATTTTTTGGTTTGTTTGTTCTAGAGATTTGCCTTAGGGCACGTGCATTTGCTGGACAGAGAGAGAGAGACAGAGATAGTGAGAGGGAAAGTGAGAAACCACTCCACTGGGGGAATGGCTACACCACAATCGTTTCTCCTCCATTCTTCTCCTGGGATCTTGGGCATGCATGCACTTGTGCCCAGCGTGAGTTTCAAGCCACTAGATCCAGGTACAGACGGCAGTCAGCCATGCGGGAGTCCAGCAATGTAACCTCTACACCATCTTCTGGCCCCTGCCATTTTTTCAAACATAACAGTTTTATTGAAATAAAAATCACATGCCATACAATTCACTCATTGAAAGTATACAATTCCATTAGTTTCGGGTAGTCACCAGGTTACACAACTATTCCCATAATCAATATTAGAACATTCCATTATGCCAAAAGGAAACCCTAGGCTCTTTGGTAGTCAGTTCTAATTTGCCTCTAGCTCCCCCGCCCCATAATACTCTATTTTCTGTCTGTCTCTGTAGATTTGCCTATTCTGGGCATTTACATCAGTGAAATGATACAACACATGGCCTTTTGTGACTAAATTCTTAGCACAGTTTTCCAGGTACATTCATGTTGTAGCATGTATTGTACTATTTTTTCATGCCTAAATTATATAACATATGTATTATATATTATATATAAATCATATATTGTGTCTGTGAATAAACTTATATATATAAGTTTATTCATTTGTTGCTGGATGTTAGGGTTGTTTCCAGTTTTTGGCGATTACAAATAATGCTACTATGAACAGTGATATGAAAGTTATTTTATGGGTAGGAGTGAAATTGCTGGGTCATATAGTAACTAGCTCTATACTTAATCTTTGAGAAACTGCCAAACTCTTTTCCAAAGCTGCTTCATCACTTTATACTCCTACCAGCACTATATGAAGTTCCAATTTCTCCATCACTTGTTATTATCTCTCTTTTTTATTGTAAACATCTAAGTGGGTTTAACGTGGTGGTATCTCATTATAGTTTTGACTTTTATTTCCTTAAAGCTAAAAGTACATCATCTTTGGACTGATACATTCTAGAAGAGATAAAATCTAGACAATTAACCACTCCTTAGTTGTAGAGGATGTTTCTTTTACAAAGGCTTTTTTCTTTTTTTTATTTTTCAGTGAAACACTTTTCATAATTTATAATTTATTTTAAAACCAGGACCATAGGGACCAGCAGTTAGCATAATGGCTATGTCGCTGGACTCCCATGTAGTAGACCGCAGTTCGCGTCCTGGACCTGGTGGCTTAAACTCACTCTGGATGCATGTGCGTGCGTGCCCAAGATCCCAAGAGGAGAATGGAGGGGAAGAGATTGCGGCGTGGCCATCCCCCCTGGGGGGGTGATTTCTCGCTTTCTGTCTCTCTAGAGAGCGCACGCGCCCTGTAGCAAAAGCCTCTCCAAAAGAAAAAAAAAAAAACCAGGACCATAAATTTATCATTAGGTGTTTCACATATGTATGCCCATTGAAGGATATGTACGTTTATGCCTTATTGCAATAGTTCTTTACATGATATAGGTATTTTGCAAATACATAATGAATAAATAAAGTAGTAATAGTCCAAGGAAATACTTATTTATCTTAGCAATTATTCTCATGAGGAGAGCAAACAGAAATTCTCAGAGAGTTGACCTTCTCATAGATGCTGGATTTTTGTAATCTAGTCTTTGCATGCCCATTAAAATATGTTTTTTTGTTTGTTTGTTTGTTTGTTTGTTTTAATATATAGCCAGACCCAGCGCTAACCAGAACAGAAAGCTGCTAGCTATCTCCACTTTTGCTGTTTTGGGCCTCTGGGTTCAACTTCAAGGCTATGAAGTCTCCCCTAGCCAGTATCCCCCTCCCAGACCCAGTGCTAGCCAGGTAGGAAGGCTGCTTAGCTCCCTCTTGCTATCCTCTGTCCCTTCTAACTTTTTTTTCTCTCTTTGAAAAAAACAGCTCTCTGCCCTCATTGGGCCTTTCTCTTGTCTTTTTTCTCACCTAGGACAAAAAGCTGCTAGCCATCTCCAGCTTCGCCTGTTTAGGGCTTTTGCACGACACACAAGCACACCGTGCACTTTTCCATTTTCATCCCAATTTTTTCTTTTTTTCCTCTTTTTCTTCTAGTACTTTCCTTCTTTTTATTTTGCCTTCTCTCCCTATTTCTATTTCGTACTTTCTTTTTCTTTACCCTAGCTTGCTGTTTTACTTCTCAGCCCTTACCCTCTGCCTAGAGATGATTAGGTGCATATAGCTAACCATCTGAGCATTGTGAGTTTTAGAGAATTCTTTGCACATCACTGTAGTGGTTGCAAAAATAGTGAAATTCCCCTTCATAAATCTGATTGCAAAACTCCCCCTGCAATTTTGGCATTTGGGGACTTAGTAGAAGGAAGAAAATAGCACCGAATTATTTCACAGTGGGGAAACAAACGAGTTCAGTCACAGAATCCCTCACCAACAAATTGACCAGAGTGAATACATTACCAAATGACTGAAAATCAAAGTAGAGCTTCAAGGATGAGAGAATCAAGTAGTATATCTCCACCAAGGGAACAATGTAACCTGTCTCCAAGTAGGAAAAATTTAGAGCATATTACCTAAATGTCCGAAACAGAATTTAGGATATTTATGGTATCAAAATTCTATGAGATGCAAGAGAAAAGAGACATTGAGCTCCAAGAGATGAGGGAGTCCTTCCATGATATGAAAGAAGAATTGGACACCATAAAAAAGAATCAAACAGAACTGTTAGACATGAAGGCTATAATACAGGAAATTAAAACCTCTCTAAAAGTATCAAAAGCAGGTTAGACCATGCAGATCGAATTTTGGGAAGTAGAAGACAAAACCAATCACCTAGAAAAAATGATCAAAAATAGTGAGAAAATAGCCAAAAAAAACCTGAGGATAATATACGAGAAATACTAGATACCATGAAATGCCCAAATATATGAATAATTGGTATCCCAGAAGGTGAAGAATCTATCCACCTGGCACATGGAGAGATGAGTAGTGCCCACTACTGCAGAGCAGTGCCCAGGCTGAATGCAACACTCTACCAGCTGCTACAGAAGCAATTGCTCTGGAAAAGGCTAGTCCCTACCCATCCTTCGATGCCACAAGCTGGTTGGTATCCAGGTTGTCTGTTAAGGGCTACAGTGATCAGCATGTCCAGTGCACACATATAGCCACATTCCAGGGTGCAAGACAGTCCTACATAGACAGAGTCAGGACTGCTCCTAGCATCTGACACTTCATGATCCAGAATCACTGTCCTTGCCTCCCCATTATCCACTCCTTCAGGACATTTTCTGAATCTGTCCTCCAAGATTCTTGAGTTTCTAAAACCCTTCTGCATTGTTTATCATTCACTGGCTCTCAAATTTAACAAGAAATTGTAATAATCTGGGGAGTGACAAAGATTCTTTGCTTGACCAAACTTCGATCAGATTCCTAAACTTCCTAGGATTTCTTTGTAAAATCCAGTTTTAGCAAAGAACCCTGCTAAGTTAGGTTAGCAAGAACTGATCTCCCCACCCTTGATGTCTGATTACCCCTGATATCTGATCAGATTCCTCATCCTCCACCATCCCCTAAGTGATGTCTGATCACCCAAGCTTGACTTTAGTAAGCAACCTGTTAGGTAAGTTTAGCCAGAATTCCCCTGTCCTTTGTGTTTCTTCATAATAATGTTCTATCCACTGACTTTCTTCCTGCTTCTTGACTATAAATTCCCACTTACCCATGCTGTATTCAGAGTCGTGCCCGATTTCTTTCTCCAACTGAAAAATCCCACTTTGGGGCATTAGTAATATAGCTATTGTAATGGTCCAGAATAAAGTATTTCTTATTATGCTTTAACAAGTGTCATTGAATGTATTTTTTCTTAAACAAGAGCTTTCGAAAATAGGAATGCCTTGGGCCAGCCCTGTAGCACAGTGGTTAAAGGAGCCAGATTCTACATGACTGACCATGGTTCAAGTCTGCTGGCCACATGTGCATTTATCCCCCAAATCCTGATGGAATGATGAAATGGAGGAAAAAAGGGATTATGATATGGCCATGTCCCATTGGGGGGTGCTTCCTCTCTCTGTGTCTGTCTCTCTCTTGATCTGCAGTGAACACATATGCCCTCTGGCAATTAAAAAAGAAAAAAGAAAAGCAATAGAAAATATTAATGCCAGGTTCTACCTCAGAGAGTCTGATTTCATTGATCTAGAACAACCTAGACATTGAGACTTCTCAAAGTTTGCCAGGTTGATTCCAACATACAGCAGGATTTGAGTGCAAGTGATGTAGTTGGTAATCTCTCTCAATAAAGAAGAAAAGAAAAGCACAAGTTTGGTCTTTAGTAGAATTCTCCCTGTGGTAGGGTTTTTACCATACTCACTATTCTTTTTTTGTTGTTTGTTGGTTGGCTTTAATGTGCTATATGGTACATGTACTCACTGGAAAGAGACAGAGAGAGAAAAGGAAAGTGTGAAAGCAACCTCCAAGGTTTATGGCCACATCATAATCCCTTCACCTGCATTCTCCTCTAGGGATTTTGGGTACATACACACGTATACCTGGCATGTTTTTTAAGCTGCTGGGCCTGGAACTCAAACACAGTTGGCCATGTGGGATCCAGCTGCCTTAACCACCACACCCCCAGCTGGCCCCCATACTATTCTTCCTAAGGTTTTTCTTACTCATTGTTTGAGAGCTCAGCTCAGATAAAGGCAGCATGAGCACCCCCCTGCACCCTGCAGCCTAACATTGCTGTGTCCCTGGCCTTTCAGGCTGATCAACTCAAGGCCTGATCATTGCATTCTCCTGCTGTGACTAGGAAAGTACTAACAATACTAATTATAATTGTAATTGTTTTTAAAAGATAAAGCGATGTTCTCTGAAGAGAGTGCCAGCTCAGTAAAAATGCCAGCAGTAGAGATTACAAACTGTGAAGACTATAAATCTAGGGACAGCCAAAAGTTTTATTTCTTGAAAACTGCAGAGCACTTGCAAATCTGAAATAATTCCCAAGAATCACATATATTTAATTATCTGAAGCTAAATCTAACACTTTTGCCAATTACTTTTAAGGGAAAAAAAGCAGAAAGCATGCATTAAGAAAAAAATGTATTATAATTCAGTAGCTAAAAGGGCCTTCTAGCAAATAATATTTGAAATGAAGGGCTAATACAAGATTAAATTCTGGAATCTTCTCAAAAAAACTTGGGTGTGTGAGTGTTGGGGGGAAACCTGTGCTTAAAAACAACTTATTTTGGAGGCCAGCAGGTGGCATAGTGGTTGAAGTGTTGTACTCCCACATTGCTGACTGTGGTTTGAGTCCTGGATCTGGCAGCTTGAAACCCATGCTGGGCATGTGTGTGTGCGTGCTCAAAATCCCAGAAGGAGAAGGGATTGCAGCATGGCCATCCCTGTTGGGGGAGTGATTTCTTACTTTCTCTCTCACTGTCTCTCTGGCGAGTACACAAATTCAATAGCAAGAAAAAAACCCAAAAAACTACTTATTTTGTGTTACTTTAAAGTCAATACCACTATTCTTTCCCCTCCGAAAGCAAACATATAGATATACCCAGTATACACATGCATGACAATTAAAAGATGATTTTGATATATTTATATTCCAAAAGGCAGCATGGTGCTTTAGAAAGACCATGTAGTTTTGGAGTCTGGCAGAGTTGGTTTTTAATTCTGCCTTTAGTACAAGTTAAGCTAGGACAGCTTATCTAAATGCTGAACCTCCTTTTCACATAAAATAGGCCTATTTCCATCTTTCTCGTAGCAACCCTACATGACTGAGGGGAAGCGAAGCGTGACTTGAAATTGAGGATTATCTGCCATTCTAGACAAATCTTGGTTCTCTTCCTTTCAGTTCATGCAACTGAAAAATCCAAAGTACCTATCTGTCCCAGGTTACTCTTGCTCAAGCAACTAACCTGATTGCTCATTATAGGAATTTCCCAAAAGATTCAACAGCTCTTCAATAGGAAGCATCAATACATGTCCTAGGACTTCCTTGTTTCCAAAGTTTTGCCTTGCTGTTTCTACCAGTTCTAAACTGTGAGAGACTGAATACACAAATGAACAGTGGCCAGATCATATAGAAAAATAGAACTCTGACCCACAATCTGTAGTAGCCAATCAAAAAATCCAACCATTAACGACAGTAACAACTCAACCTACTGCCTGCAGGTCAAGCATAAGAAGTAAATCACTATCTCTAGGAGACAATCTAGGAAGCCAAATAATAACTGTCATGATTGGCCCCAAACATCCAGGACTTGATTAATAACTGCCATATTTCCTAATTTTTGTCCCTGCTTCCAATTTAGAACCAACTAGAGAAATCACATAGGATGCTCCAAGACCCCATAACTTCTCCTGCCAACAATCTCCGAAGATAGTATATATGGATTCTCCCTTCCCCACTGTAAAACTGTCAAGCAAAAAGAACAATTGCAAAGTAAAAGTTGTAAGGGAAAGGGGAATGTATTGGTCTTACTAAGCTAGCACAAAATTAAGGTCAGACCCCTGGCACATTTAGTCAGGACCAGCATCAGCAGACCTGGATGGTAGTGGCAGAACTATCCAGCAGCTCTAAGAAAAAAACCTTCTTTTAACTCAGTAAGAAGAGGTACAATGCATGTAAGTTGTTCAAAGATTACATTGTTCAAAGATAACAAGGGAAGGTCTTGGTGATATGGGCTAAAGAGATAGGCTTGGATAAAAGTCCATTAGGAGAAGTGATCTGGAGGATGGTATGGTGGTAAAGGCTCTGGACTCCCACATGACCAGTCATGGTCCAAATCCTGGACCTGGTGGCTTCCTTTCTCACTCACCTTCTCTCTCTCTCTCTTTGTCTGTCTCTGGTCAAAACTGAAGAATAATGATAAATAAAATTAAATAAATAAAAATTTAAAAAAATTTAGAGGGATTTTTGCTATAGGGCACATGTGCTCTCCAGAGAGACAGAAAGTAAGAAATTACCCCCAGGGGGGCAATGACCACACCACAATCCCTTCTCCTCCATTCTCCTCTTGGGATGGATCTTGGGCATGTACACACATGCACCTGGCATCAGTTTCAAGCTTCTGGGTCTGGGACTAAAACTCCCATATGCAGTTGGCCATATGGGAGTCCAATGACATAACCATTATGCCATCTGCTGATCCCAATTTTTTTAAAATTTTAAAAAGGAGTTATCCGGAGAAGTTTATTGGTGTTAGAATACTGGTCTGTTCTTTATGTCAGCAAGTTGTGCAGCCAACCCTAAAGCGATCTGTTGCAAGTGTTATCTGGAGAAAAGGGTCTTTGTGAAGGTCAATTGTGTAGACAACAGGAAATAGCCACTAAGCAGGTAGTCAACAAACCTCTTCCTCATTTGTTCTCTGGCCTTAATTTAGTGCATTAGTTTTTTTCTCTGGATAAACTTTATCTCAAAAAGCTTTTCCACTCCTCTGCTTTCCTTTGAATCTATGTCAAATGCAAGTGATGGTGCTGACTCCTAGCTATAGCAAGCTCTTTTTCTATTGTCAATTGGTTGGTCTTCATTTATTTCCATAACCATTAGGTCATGATTCTTATCTAATTCTAATCAAGGCCATGTCAGGATTAAACATTTTTGTATTTCTGCCTAGTTAGGGTTTCCTAAGCAAGTTTTATTGGAATCTGGGTTAAAGGACAAGTCTTAGAAGTTAAAGGGCAATTGGATCACCAGAGATTTCCAGAAAGATTCATTTCCCTGGAGGTACCTCCCTGGAAGTATGTGTTCAGATTTCAAAGAATAAAAAACAGATTCAAAGGAGACTGAACCCCAGACTTGCAGACATTCCAAGTTTGTCAACCCTGCTGGGTTTCTCTTCTCTTTCCTGCAGAGACATTTATTTACATTCCAGAAGAGTCTTTCCTTTCTCTTGCCTAGAAGATATTTGTTTACAGGAGAAAGATTAAGGGGAGTAGGGCTGGCTCAGTCCCCATGGCCATCTGGTTAAGGGAGGCAGCTCCCACATGGCAACTTGCACAGCTTGAATCCCAGGCCTTCGCAGCTGGAAAAATTCCATGTGTGAAAATTCCAGGCAGAATAGAGAAATGGAGGAGGAGGGACTGCAGTGTGACCACAACCTATTAGGGGATACTTTCTCCCCTTCTTTTTCTGTCTCTTTCTGCCAAGTATGGCAATTAAAAACAAAGGGGAGCAGGGCTACCTATGCAAGCTGTTTAAACTGCCAGATTAATAATTTTGGGGTTTCCTCCTATGCTTCAAAGAGCTCCCTTTATTCACACAGGCAGGTATTGTGTTTCCTTGTAAATTTCTGATTATAATGAACTGTTACCAGATTTTATCCATGGTTATTTCAGTCTTACTCCACAGACAATTAATCATGTTACTCTGGTGTTGTACCGAAAGAATTTGCAAGCTACTATTATCCTAAAATGTTTTCATTTTCAAAGAAATTCATGGGAAGGACTTGGACAATTACAGACTTTTTAAAATATAATTTAAAGTCATATCATTATATGGGGTAAGAATTTCCAGAACTTATAAAGAAACTGATGTGTTCATGAAACTGATAACTAAGATCAAACAGAATAAGATTTAATTAAATGAGAATAAAGAAACTGATGAGTTTTTTTTTTAATTTTTTTTTATTTATTATCATCATAATCTTCTTTATATTACATTGGATTACATATAACTTTACATTGACTTCCATTGCTTTTTCAAAAGGGAATGCCATGCATGTCAGTCAATACAGAGGCATCGATCTCCCCGCTTTATCATTCAAAGTCTTTTCCATGCGAATAAAGAAACTGATGAGTTTTTTTTTTAATAACTTTTTGTTAGAAACATTGTGGGCCCTTTCAACATCTTCTAGATTTAAGAAAATTTTTTCTCTTTTGAGTTATCTCTAGCTTATAAGAGTTGGGAAAAATGGACTTTTGTAAGCAGAATTGAGACATTTACATTTTTTTCATATCTAATCCCTCCAGATTTTGGACACTATCAGTGAATTTTCTTATTTTATGTCAATATAGTTATTTGTACAAGTTCAATAAAAATCTATTCTGTATTTAACAGGACACAGCTGGAACTTATGTGACTGAAAAGTCATATTTAACCAGACAGTTGTTTTTTTTTTTTTTTTTTTTTTAGGGGTTTTTCCTTTTGGGCAAGTTTGGCCCCCCGC